TGCAAAGGCCTTGCCACTGTGTTGCAGGAGAGATATGCTTGGCAGGGTCCCAGACTGCATTCCTGGACCAAATACCTGAAGATGTTCTGTATTCTGCAACATTTGAAAGTACCTTTCCAACATCAAGTTCTAAGTGTGTTGCTTGTTTTGTAATCCAGTCAAATGCAGTAGCAGTGCTATCATCACTAACATTTTTACCTTTGAATCTTGGATCCAGAAGATTTGTAGCAGCATGAATTGATTGGCAACAAAATTCTTCCCGTCTGTTAAAGTCTTTCACTTTTCTTTCTTCTGTACTTGTAAGTGGAGATGCACTTAAAATCAACTGTTTTTGAGAATCTATCTGGGCCATTTGGTAAGGAATGTCTGACAGAAGTGCGTGGTCTGATTCAGATGCAATGAGTGCTGAAGAAATTTGCTTTAGAATGTTCAGGGAGTTCTGCAGCTGAACCCAGAAGGCATCCTCATCAGGGACAGTGTTCCTTACACTTCCGGGTACTTTAAGATCCTCACTTATTACTGTTTTCTGAAGAGCTTCTTTGTTTTTTAGTAAAGTTTCAAATGAGATCGCCACTCCACCGCATCTAGTTTTACTACAGAGTTTGAGTGTTACTATTTTATTCTTTGCATTCTTTTCTTTCTGTTTCTTCTTAAAGACTGCAGCTACAATGTGAGTAGCTTTTACATGTTTTGTAACTTCTTTTGCTCTTCTATAGATCTTTTGCTGTGTCCAACTTCATGATGCCATTAAAAAGCAAGTTGAGCCCATGGGATGCACATCCTATTGCAGTAATATGTGAATATTTATCCATTGTGATCTCCCATGCTGCTTCCATGTTACTTGCATTGTCAGTCAGCAAAGCAAATATTTTACCACTCCCAATCTTGTGTAGGACTTCACATATTTTACTACTGATAGTACAGTACACCTGTTCTCTCCTGTTACAACACCTCAACCAGTTTTTTTTTTACAGAAGCGTTGAAATCACAAAGTTTATGATTCCTTCTCCCTGCACATTTGTCCATCCATCTGTAAGTACTGCAAGACACAGTGCTTCATTGATTTTTTCCTTGCACAGGTGTTCATATTCTGACTCTAAAAGAGGCTTGCTCAAAGAATGTCTGTTGGGCAAATGTTATGACAGTCTTAGTAATTTAAAAGCTTCCTGCCAGTATGCATTTTCAGTTATTGAAAATGGCATCCCAGAAGCATATATTGGTCTTGCAAGAACTTGGTCATTTTTTTCCTGATCTTTAGGTGTCATCTTGTCTACAAATGAAGATATTGAGAGTCTTTTGTATACAGTTGCTTGCAATATTTGGTTACTTGAGGATGTTGATTGGGCAACCTTTGTATTGCTGATGTTATAGGAGAAGAAGAAGAACCAGCAGCAGCAGTAGGAGGACTTCTGGACTGAGAATGCTGGAAAAGGCTACTTGCACTCTCATCATCATGATCTACCTCCTCCTCACTTACACCCATAGAGGATTTTTTTAATGTCTGCAGGACACTTCTTACATACAAGGATGTGTTTGGTCATCCTAGTTGCATTTGGAAATGCATATTTCATTTGACAGTATTTGCAAATTGCATTTTTTTTCAGAATAACTCAGTGTGGAAATGCTTCCATATGCTAGAAGTTGGTTGTGCCATTTTGCTGAGGTAGAAAAAAGAAAAGTGCAATTTAGCGGCTAGCTTGCATATATGAACACTAAGCTACAGCATGTACAAATTTAGTAATGGATGGAAGAGAGGCCTACTCACACTTAACTGTGTACAACTTTCCTGCACTGCAGGCCTCACTTCACTGCTAAGGTTGAGTGATTTGTCACGAAACATCAGACTAGTAGAAATTCAATTATGAATTACATAGGTTATGAAAATATACTGATGCAACTAAAATATATTGTAATATACTGAATTCAGAAAAATTTAAACACTTCCCTTTCAATAAACAAGAATACTTTCTTTCAGCTCCTTTGTGCTGCTTCTGCACTTCTGTGGATCTCAAGATGATGGGACCAGGAGGAGGCAGGATCCTTCCAACTCCAAAACCTTTAGATTTGCTCTGTCTCCTCTCCTGAGGTTTTTGAGCAACAAGGGCAATACGCTCCTTGTTTCTATTATCTACAGGAATGAATGGATGCTGCTGCCGGTGTTCACTCCCAGTCCTTTGAGGCCTAGTCAGGAGGACAGGAGCAGATCCACCAACCTCTAGATCAAAAGTCAACAATGGAGGAAGTCCACAAGCAAAGAAGGCACTGAATCCTTCTTCCTTCTCTTCTGAAAATGGCAGTGCCCGCTGGGGGCAGAAATGCATCTTGCTCTTGCGTTTGAGAGTTGTACTGTACTGCTTGTCCTCAGTGTACAGGAATTGTAATGATCTGATACTGTAGATAGTCTTGCATAAAAGTCTTCCTATTACAATACTTATTAGAAAACAGTTTTGGGGAGTACAGGGTAGATATATGAACACCTTGTCGTAAACATTTTATTCATCATACTAAAAGAAAATATTTCGTAAGAGGTTTTTTACATTTTTCCAAAAACTTTAAACTTTTCCAATTTTTTGGAAAAAAACAAAAAAAAGGTCCTCAGAAAAAAATGGGTATTTTTCCAGGCCTTCACATCTCTACGTATTCCTGAAAGATTATGGAATTAAGTCATATTTTAAGGTGGTGACATCACAATTTTCTTCCTTGGCTGCCATTTCTTTTATCGTGTTAATGGTTTTGTGCTTGGAAGAAGGTTCAAATCAAAGAAGGAAGTCCAGGCTTCAAGGCGGGAGGAGCTGCTGTTCCCAGATAATATAAAACAATGGAAAAATAAATATTCTCCCCCCGCCAAGACTATTCTAGAGCAAGTTCCTTTCCAATCTCCGAAGTTTTAGTGTGGAATGTTGTACAGACTAGATACATTTCAAAGCCATACCAACCTTGATTTATTAATTTCAGTTCATATGTGCATGATAAAGAATATTATCTCTTGTGTTTTTTTTCCACCATTGGTCATAATCTGATGTTCAGTTACAGGATGTATTCCTACTCTTTCATTGCAGCAGTTATTTAATTATGGTCATTTTGCTATGGCTTAATACTTCTGTAAATATGAGATTTATCCTGAAGGTATTCAACACGTCTACTTTAAGATAATTAACAGGCATTAGTTTTCATTGCTGAGATTACATAGCTTATCTTCACTTAGGGTAATGTTCTTCAGTGATAAGTACATATTAGCATATTTACTCACATCCAAGGCAAGGTGTCCTGTTCTCGCTCCCCCCAGCCTCCATTCAGTTTGGCCGAAGGGAAGCCCCTCATGTTGGATTTGAGTACAAGGCAGAGGGAAGAGCAGGCAGCTGCTGCACTGTTATTTCCCAGACTAGCCATCCAAAACTGAGGTGATGTGTTTTAAATGAGAACTGATTTCCACACCAGGATTGGCGGTGCTGTAATGGCTGCCAGGAGCTGTGCTGCTTTCCCTTTCTGGCCACATAGAGGAGGGCAAGATCCTGCTGTTCAGGTTATTCAGTCTCTCCATCCAAGCTCCAGCTCAGGCTTTAACCCTGTTGTTGCTGTTAGTGAACTGACAGCAGCTTTTGGCTGCTCAGCTGAAAGGGAAGGCAGTGATGCCAAAGAGTAAACTGTCTCTGTTCCATGCAGCCTTATTCAGCCATGACGCTAGAAATTTTTTTTTCTTCATTCTGCCTTCCGTTTTAAAATCAAGTTGTGTGTCTTATTTTAGGATGTGTGGTATGCAAGAAAATACAGTGCTTAAAGTGTAGCTTATACGTAAATAATAATGCCTGTAGTCCTACTACCAGGATAACTGGCTGCACAGCACTGACTGCAACCAAACAGCTCTAGGCTTGTTTTGCACTAGATTTGGTGATTCTTCATGGGTAACCTAGAGCAGGGTTGTTGAAGTCTGTACTGGTGATTTAGTTAAATAGTACTTTTTCTTAACTCTGATGTCAGGAAGCCCTAAGATCCAGGACCACTAATCCCAGTTTGCCCTTTGCAGATGCATGTTAAGTCATCTGTCCTTGCAATATTACAGCTTGGAATGTAATGTTCTGTCTAGACTTTTCTCTTAATATTTTCAGTTTGTATGTGGTCCCTGGCCTGCTGCTGCTACTGTCTGCTGGAGGAGATGATACAGTTTAATAGTGGGTTAATTCCATTATGTCTAAACTGCTTGAATAGAACCATAATGTTAAGCAAGGGACATGCGTGCATTTAGCATAGTACAATAAATGTTTCTGACTTCATGCACATAACTGAAAGAGGATAATCTTTCTAATATGTGGCCTGCTAATGCAGAACTTTATCTCTCTCACATGCAAAAAGGGGGTTGCAGCAATGTGATACAGCATCAGAGCTTTGTTGGCCTGTCGAGAATAATTCTATAATTCTGTAGCACAAAATTTTGTTGCATCTAGACTAGACTATGCTAGATCATGGTGGTCTGTCTCATGAAGAACCCTGAATCTGATTTTAAAAAAATCATCTTTTCTGATAGCATCACTCCTAAAATAATGTTTGACTTTGCTTACTCTCAATGTAGAACCTTATGCAGCTTATCTTTGTTTTATCCTCCCTTTTATATCTGAGTTTTTTCACTCATGATTTTCATCTCAGGGCACAGATGGAGCCTGGGTCTGCAGTTGGAGCACTATGTGCTCAGAGTATTGGTGAGCCTGGCACACAGATGACCCTGAAGACTTTCCACTTTGCTGGTGTTGCTTCCATGAACATCACTCTGGGTGTACCACGAATCAAAGAAATTATTAATGCCTCCAAAGCAATTAGGTATGGGGCTATATTTAAGTAAAACTAAACTGAGCACTAGAAATATTCATCATACAGTCTTTCTGACTGTATTTACTGTTTGATTATAAATTCCAACATTTATACTATTCTTACAAGCCTTAAAGAATATTTTTTAAGAATTAACTGTCAATTTTGGGGGTTGAATGCTTTCTTAAGAGAAGTAGTTGTCTCTTTGACTTCATATCCTAGCATGTGAAACAAACTGCTGTCTGCTTTAGGTAGAAAGTGACTTATCTTTGTGTTTTGTTTATTTTTTCTTTATTTATTTTGTATAGCACACCTATTATCACAGCACAGTTGGATATAGATGATGATTCAGATTTTGCCCGTCTGGTTAAGGGAAGAATTGAGAAAACCTTATTAGGAGAGGTAGGCAACACCTTATTGTGGTAATGCGCTAAATTTAAAATCTTTAGTGTGCTTCAGACTTTGGTGTAATGGACAGTTGTTCTTCGTGGATGCTAAGTATTCCATATGGATCTCTTAATTTGCAGATATCAGAGTACATCGAAGAAGTGTTTCTTCCAGATGACTGCTTTATTCTGGTCAAGCTGTCTTTGGAGCGGATCAGATTGCTGAGACTAGAGGTGAGTGTGCCACTTCTGATCCAATAAACATAAAAAAATAGACATATTTAAAGTAAAAAAATCAGTGGCCATGAAATAAAAAAATATATATATATAGCTCCATTCAGTACTTACAATAGGAGTTTTCAGTATTTCTTTGTACAATGAAAACAGTGTGCAAGTTTCCCACCTTTTTTAGTATTCTCAATTTACTAAATAAAGAACAAATTGCACAAAAATATGGTAGTCTTGTAATTAAGCTATGGCTAAAATTATTTTCTCTTAAGGCGGCTGTGCCACACAGCCTCCAGAACATAAAATTGGTCCTTTTTCACTAAAAGTAAATTTAAAAGTGTATGTCACCTCTTTATAGCACTTTTATTTTAAGGACATGGACCTGTATTGGCTCTTCACATAGGGGTGGACTTCACCTAAATATTAAATTGAGTTTGCACTGCTTTGCAAGATTTCCATTTGTTACATTCATCCAGGTGAGCTAATATCCTGGTTGGCTAATGGAATAGAAATATGATTTCTGCAGAACTTAGTGGGTTTAGAGATATTAAGTGAAAAGATAGTCTAGTAATCAAGTGACTTATATTTTGCCACAGGTGAACGCAGAGACTGTACGATACTCTATTTGCATATCAAAGCTAAGAGTAAAGCCAGGAGATGTTGCTGTTCATGGAGAGGCAGTTGTGTGTGTGACCCCTCGTGAGAACAGCAAGAGTTCAATGTATTATGTCTTGCAGTCCCTGAAAGAAGAGCTGCCAAAGGCAAGTGAGCTGTTGTGTCACATCAGGCAATTAGTAATCGTTTCAGTTTCGTGAGGAAAATAAGAATGTTCCTATATAATACTGAGGTCAATTTTTGATCTAGTTGTCTGAGCCCAGAACTCTTGGGGCGCCTATACATGAATGCATTGGCTGCTCTGACGCACTGGAATTCCAGCATGTCAAAGCAGACTGACTCCATGGGGTCTACTGGAGCATGGCAATTGCTGCGCTCCAGCAGCCTCTTGCCTCTCACGTATCAGTGTCCTTGCTCTTTAAAAATGGTGGCAGGGGCTCATTGAACGAGCTTTAGTTCAAGTGTCCCCGCTCCCATTTTTAAATGTGGGGATCGTAATACAGGAGATACAGTGGTGTTTTAATTAGAGCAGCTCTCAGAGCCACCCTAATTAAAGCGCTGCCCTCCCCACCCCCAGAGCATGTGTAAAAGTGCCATTTCATTCTAATTCCATTGATGCTGCTGACTTGCTGCTGATTTAATTAAAAATGGAAATTGTACTGTTTTCTTTAAAATATTTGCATGAATTTGCTTTAGTCGTAACACATTCTGCAGGTGCAAAGTGTTATGTAAGCATGAAATACTTTTTCTAGCTAAAGATAGACCAGGTTTCAAAAGGATCGTGAGACCCGAATCAGTCAAACTGTAAAGCTTCTAGCGAGGATCATGTCCAGTTTCCTTTAAAACATATTAACTGACACTCCATACTGGAGGAGGATTAAGAACAAGAGGCAGATAACTATGGTACTGCCTTTCTAGAGAGAAGATAAAATATATTAGTGTGGTGAAGGTTGATCTTTCTCTGGCTGTAGACAGTATTCAATACTCAGTAATAGTGTTTGATTTGTGTATCAATTTTTTAGGCCACTAGAGGAAGTAGGGTTTGTAAATATATTTGGTAGGGGCTGTTAATTCTTAAATGGAAGCTTTCTCATGTTGTCTGTTTAATATTGCATGAATGGCTTCAAGCTCATACAACCTCTTCTTTCATAAAGATTGTAGTGCAGGGTATCCCAGAGGTGTCTCGAGCTGTCATTCACATTGATGAACAGAGTGGAAAGCAGAAATACAAGCTTCTGGTGGAAGGTGATAACCTACGAGCTGTCATGGCCACCCATGGAGTCAAAGGAACTAAGACAACATCTAATAATACTTATGAGGTAATATGCAAGTGCACCTTCAGGTGTTGGTTTTGGACAGTTAGAGAAATTTACAGGCAGTCAAGTCTTCCTTCACTAGTAGCTGTCTGGATGTACTGATATAAGTAATTCAGCTGGCATCTTCACTCATTTTTAGTAAGCGAATATTTCTTGTTTTGTGTTTAATTTAAACAATCCTTCAAAAAGTGAAATTATGAAATTATGATATGAGGTGTTCGAGGTGGATCTGGTAAAATCTTTGATTCCATATGCCTTCAGCACATCACAACTTTATTTACCCAATATTATCACTTTATATAGGTTGAAAAAACACTGGGCATTGAAGCTGCTCGATCTACTATTATCAATGAGATTCAGTACACTATGGTAAACCATGGTATGAGCATTGATAGGAGGCATGTTATGCTGCTCTCGGATCTGATGACATACAAGGTTGGTACTGTGCTTTTTTGGCTTTCCATTAGCCTGTTTGTTCCAAAGTAATGTTAATAATGTCAATAGGAGACCTCTCAGCCATGAAGGATTATTAGGTTATAGGCTGAAAAAAGCAATCTCAGTGTTAATGAGTTGGTATGTTGAACTAAGTGTACAACTGGGTCAAAGCAGACTGCTGTTCTCAAACCTCATATAGTGAACACTGGAATATTTGTTTAATTTTGAAGTTCAGCAAGTCAGCTATAAAGGTCATAGAGTTAAGGTTGACTGCATGGGCTCCCAACCTGCAGTATGTCCCACCACTGTTTATAGGTCTCAGTGGTAGTATACTGCATGCCAGAGGGTAGAATTGTGACAAATAGAGCCAGTTTTATATAATGAAGTATGGGCAGCACTGTTTGCTGTGATACATTATCTGTTCTTTGAAGGGGAGGACAAAACTCTTCACTTAGTGGGGGAAATGATTTACTCTGTGCCAGATTGGGGGAAGGATAAGCCAAGGAAATGAGCTGAAGAATTTGAACTTTTTCCCTGAAAGCTGTAGGGCAGTAATTGTTGTAGCATTTTGGCTGCACTAGTCTCCTGTGCTACCTGAACTGTGCACCTAAATTGTTACCTTCCAGAGAAAGGAAAGAGGTCTCAGAGTACAGGGTGTACACATTAGCTAGGCCATGGAATTCAGTGGAAAGACAGATACCCAACATTAGTGTCCTCCTGCAAGCAAACACCATGAGCATCGAGGTGGTGATCATCCAACATCAACTTGGTTGGGCCAGCCATGTCATCCAGATGTCCAACTCCAGACTCCCGAAGCAAGTTTTATTCTCCCAGCTTAGCCAAAGCGAATGCTCAAGAGGAGGGCAGAGAAAGCGCTTCAAGGATGTGCTCAAAGATAACCTAAAAAAATGCAATATCAGTGTCAACTCATGGGGGAATATTGCCCATAACTGCCCCACATGGAGGAAGAGTCTGCTTCAGGGATCTCCATACTTTGAAACCTCAGGACAACAGGAGATGTGGGAAACAACAAAAACAGCATGTCACGGACCAAATCAAGAATCGAGCACCACACATCCCACACAAAAATAAATGTCTGAGCTGCAGTAGGGCCTGCTGATCCCAGATAGGCCTCATCAGCCATCTTCAAACACGCAGATAAAACAGTCATGGAAGACAGTAATCGTTGCCTGCAAGAGATTGCCAAAGAAGCATTTTTTTCTTTCATTGCTCCCAACCTCAGAACCAGTGTATTTCATTTGGGATTGAGGTGTTCAATGGGAGCAGAGACAGAATTAGACCCAATGTATTTACAAGCCAGTGGATTTTTTAGGGGTGTCCAAATGGGGAACTTATATCATTCTGTCATCTACTGATACCTGAAGTCAAATTAATCTACTAACAGTAACTGACAAGCTCAAGAAAGTTTTTGTTGTAGCCAGCTCAAACTCAGTAAAAGTTGGGTTTTTGTAATGGCTGATTTATAATCGAATATTTTTTGTTTTTGTTGTTTTATTCATATCCTTGCCAATTCCCTGGAGTCCATAAAATCTCTAGTAGTTGGTGACTGATCCTGCAGCTGAGAAATACATTTTTGGATTATATAAATTTCAGTTACTATCAAAACCTTAACTTTCAAAAGGCATAACTGAGAGGCAACCAAACGGAAACTGTTGTGTGCATTTTTGTTCAGTACTTTGTTACCCATTTCAAAAATGTATTATTTTTTGTCCCATCCACTTGCCTTGATTTTGCAGTGAGTGAAACCATAGCCTGCAAATGATGACTGTCTTTCTCTGTCCATTAATGTAGGGTGAAGTCCTTGGCATTACTAGGTTTGGGTTAGCAAAGATGAAGGAAAGCGTGCTAATGCTGGCATCTTTTGAAAAGACTGCAGACCATCTCTTTGATGCTGCCTACTTTGGACAGAAAGATTCTGTGTGTGGTAAGTATTGTAAGCTACACTGTTCTGTGTAGTCTTTGCTTAGCATCTTCAAAACTCTTTAAAGGAGTGTGTGCGCGTATGGCTTTTGTGCCAACTCTGTCTGTGTGCCTCTCAGAAAACAAATCTAGGTCACATGCTAGCAGCTGCAGAAGTGGAACTGGTTAAAACATCTTGATCCCAGAAAGTCTAACAAGCGCTAGCTTGGCCAATACCATTCAGTGGTGAGAGTCAATGGGAGCCCTGTCTGCTGCTTAGGATAGGATTTGGCACGTTGAATTTTTTCCCCCTTTAGCTGAATGAAATACTTGGAAATTTATTCCCTCTCTTTAGTTACCTGCCAATATCAGTGTTCCTATGTTTGCCCTGTGAGGTTTGTTGATTTTTAACACCTAACGCGGGTTAAATAATGGAGTTACCTGTTTAGTTTTTTAGATTCCCTTTTTGCTAGAACTTAGAAATAGGATAAATTTAACTTTCAACTGCAGTCCACACATGTACCATGCATAATGGACTTCATTAACTTCAGCAAAAAATGCTTAGAGGCCAAAGGCCTTCAACTCTTAGGTATTTGAGTGGCAAAGTGATGGGGGGGAAAAACCCTTGATAGTACTCTGCTCCAAACAGATAAATTCATTTTCATATTTCTATACCATCCAGGAACCCCAGGTGTATGTGAACTGCATCTCATTTGTACGTATTGTACAAATACAGAGCAAAATGAAAAATCCTGTGCAAAGAGTTTATGGTCTCCAGTTTATCTTCAAATGCATTTCTTTACTTATTTAAAAATGACTAAAGTAATATCAGTTGCAGTTTTTTTAGTTTCTTCATGGAGCTCAGGCAAGAATTAAAAAGTAAAAAGAAGCCCATTGTTTTCTGGGGCAGCTGTGCCTAGATAGTTACATAAATATTAGAATTTTGTCACTTGAGAAGCTGAAAGGTTATGCAATTAATTTTATATTCTCCTGCATGCTTTACAAATTATTTGGTCCCTGTCTCTCAACCCTCCCCTTCAAGATTTGTTGGTTTTATTTTATTTCCTCATTTAAGTTTTAGGAAGTGAGGCAGCAGGCAGATTTTACTCCTTATTTGTAGTGAGCCTAGCCTAATGGATACTCTGTGCTAATGAAGTATATAATGCTAACATAACATAGGTTTCTCTCTCCTTATGCCTTAAGGTAGGTGAAAAGAGGTGAATCCCATTGAGTGCTTTGTGAATAGGATATTTTCTAAATGGCTGGAAATGGATTAGAAAGCTTAGAATGACTGTAAACCATACTTGAAGAGCTGTCTCTTTCTGGTCCTCTATTCCTCCCTCATCAGTTAGTGTTCATTCAGGTTTTCACTGCTCTGACTGGTTAAACCAAAGGTCCTAGAGTTGATTTGCTCCATCCTCATCAATATGGAAAAGAAAATGTTTGCTCAGAGTCCCCTCTGAGTTTGTAAATCTCAGCTGAAGGACATGGAAACCAAAGGCCTTTTCATGCTAAGCTCTTTCTATGACGTTTTCATTCAAATAAGGAAATGGACTGGACAAAACACAATTGTTGTCTTGGTTCCAGAAGTAAAGAGATGGTCCTAGTAGCTTTGATTAAAATCAGGCTGTACATCTGGCTGACCTAGCAGCTTTCTGCCACACAAGGAGTCTTGATGAGATTCACAGAGGGAAACAGTTGCATCACTAGAGCAGGACCCTAGTGATTCCAAGACCAACCTAGGTGCTGAGAGGAAAGGAGTCCCATTCAGCACTTGACTATAGGCAGTAGCTGTGACTTGAAAGACTTAATAAAGGAGGACAAAGGATGTTGACCTTAAGAACAAGTTATGTAACCACTTTAATCCAGTATCACCTCCATGTTATGAGAGCTATGTAATGTGTTACTAGAAATGTAAGGGCGGGGGGGAACCTATTTAATGCATGCTTAAGCATAAGGTTTTGAATTAATTAAGTTAGGAAATGTGTGATAAAATGTAACTTTGAATTTTCTTATTCCATATGTTTCTTACTTCATACGGTCCCATTTGTAGAAAGGTATGAAATAAAGGCAAATAGTAATTTTGATCATAAGGATGCATAGAGAAGAAAGAATTGTTCTCAGGCAGTCTTTCATGTATACATGATTGAAGCTTTTGAAAAAATAGCAAGCAGATTCCTGAAAAAGCTAAAATAATAGCATGTTGTATGTATGCAGTAAGCATTGCAAATAGCTGTGATTTGCTTCCAAGTCGGATATGATTTAACCCAGTGATTAATCCCAGGGTATTGCAAGATCCTTTTAAGAGTGCCGTGAAATGTAATCACTATTAGGTATGCAAAAACCTACAAGTGATTTTCAAGATAGGAGTTGACACCTAGGAATCCATATTGTCAAAAACATTCTGACCTTTGTGGTCTTTGAGTTCTTTGTCACAGAAGAATTTTGTTGTTTTGGTTTTTGCTTTTTTGTTTTGTTTTTTGTTTCATTTTTTTTCCATGGTCAAGAAAAAAGTGAAAGCTAAGAGCTGGCATTTTTTCCAAGAAGTGCCCTGTGTCTAGTGAGAAGGGCCTTGAGCCTAAAAAGGTTGAGAACTGCTAATATTATGATGTGAGGATGAAATTTGTGTGTTTTAAGTCATCAACATGCAAAAACAGTGCTAAACTGAAAAAACTAAACTAAGAATATACTTCTATCTGGAAATCACACATTGCCAAATTAAACTTGACTTGACTTCATAGAAGCCTTTTGGTTTGAACTTTAGAAAGAACATAGGATATTTTACCCTCAGAAAGTTACCAGGTACTGACCAAAAAGATAGCATCTTCCTCAGAAAAATAAAACTGTAAATCATGTGGTTTGAGTTTGTCTTTCTTCCTGCTAAACTTTTAGCAAATAAAATAACATTTTCCATTTTAACATACTGGCTGTCACAATTATCTGGTTTAACTGCATCTGATGGGGAGAGAGGACCTGTAGTTTGCTAAGATTTACTTACAAGGTTTGAACAAGACTTTGCTTTGAGGCATGTACAGTGAAGTAAGAGAAAGTAGTTTGGAAACTTTTTAGACAATTCAATCTGCATTTGTTTCTTCCAGGTGTTTCAGAATGCATCATCATGGGGATTCCGATGAATATCGGAACTGGACTTTTCAAACTGCTGCACAAAGCAGACAAAGAATCAACTCCTCCTACCAGGCCTCTGATCTTTGATAGCAATGAATTCCATATTCCCATTATCGCATAGCACCTGGGCACAGCCCAGAATAGTAAGAAGCTGGGATATCTTTTAAGCCAAAGTGTATGAATCTCAACTCTGTATCCGAAATAAGTTTAAGACCTGCAACTTGGTACATGGAAGATCACAAAAGTTGGCTGAGTTTTTTCGTTACCAGTTGCAATACAGACTACTTTTAAAGGAGTTATTTCTCTATACTACAGAGAAGTAAATACTGATCTGAAATGATTTTCAATTTGACTGCACTTTGTTCTTAATAAGCAAGAATTTTCCATGCTACAAAAATAATACAAGTTGTATACTACAAAAAAAATAAAAGTAGTAATACATGGGCTGGAAGACCATAGGAATTGTTAATCCCTGACATAAATAACAAGGCAGTGCAGCAGGCAGTTGTTTTCCTGTTTTCTGCACCATCACAAGTAAAACATCCACTTTCTTATACTTTCTCAGCTTCTTGATACAGGGAGATGAAGCATTTCCAATACAGGTGCAGTATCATTGGTTTATTTTTATAGATGTAAGCTGTTGGACTGCTGCCACTACAGGATCATTGGCAAAATTAGTTAACTAATTCCAGAAGGCTACTAAGTAGTAGAAGGCTATCAAAAGCTGTCTCACCATCTTCTATCGTGCTTTTTCATGAAAGATCCCTATGGTTGCTGAGTTTTACAAGACTTCCTAGTTCATGTGATATGGGAAGTGAGGGGAAAGGTAGCATTAGCAATTTGTCTGCTAAAAAAAGAGAGAGTTTGGCTCAAGGATGCAGATGTGCCCTTTGTGCTGAACCTACTTATTGAGATTGATGCTGAAGTACCAAGATAAATGGTGACAGAAGTATGCTGGTTATTTTTGCCTGAACATTTTTTTCTTTAGTCTCTCATTTCCTTAAGGTTATATTTTTTGTTATTCAGCTTGATAGGAGAAGTGAAGTAATTCTGCTTCCAGAATCCTGATGTTAGGACTAAAGGGAAACTATATGTAAAACATCATTTTTTTTTTTAGGGAAGGGAATGCTGTATTTGGGAGATATTTGACTTTGATTGAACCGAGGGATAACAGGACAGCTATTAATCAATATTTTGGTACGGACAAGATAGTTACCACTATACTCTCTCTTTGGTCCTTTAGGTCTCCTATACATGTGCAGGGTGCTTGCTGTGATTCCAGTGCGTTAGTACAGACTCAAGTAATCTAGTGTGCTGGAGTGTGGAAATTAACATCCTCAACCACCCTCCAGCATCACGTGCATCAGCGTCCCCATGCTGAAAAATGGCAACAGGGCGCTTTTAAACTAAACTGAATCTCATTCAGCGTGCTTTAGTTCAAAGCTCCCTGGTGCTGTTTTTCAGCACAGGGGTGTTGATACACATCATGCTCCCGATAGCACAGCTCTTGGAATTGTGCTGATTAAAGCCCTCCTCCCCCCCAGCATCTCCCAGAGCACACATTTTCAGTTGGAAGAGTGAATAAATACCCTTAGACCATGAAGCTTCCCTTAAGCATCTATAATTGGAAAATCCTGGTAGCGCTACTGACTAGTCAGAAGAATGAGATTCCAAAATGTAACGTTTTGTATTTTGAATTTACATGATATACAGTTTGGAAAGTGAAATAGGTACACACCCTTTCCTCATGAGAGTCAGCTAACTCATGCACTGTCTCTGAGATACTAGATCTGGATGAAGATAAATGTTGAACACTGAACATCTGAAAGACAGACTTGTGGTATAACAAGCTACTTTACCTTTTTATGCTCTCTCACTATTATCTAGAGTTTTAAGTTGCTGCTCATTCCATCTTAGCTATTTTGTAGGCTCAGATTTGGTTAAGACATTCAAAGCAATCATTTGTGAATGGAGGCAAGATATATTTAGAAATGGCTTTGAAAGGAAGTTGCAATAGTCAATATATGATTAATAGGAATGATGAATGAGCTCTAGAAGGTTTGTCATAAATCCCTAAAGCATGCATCCATGGTATTTGCTCAAATACAGGGGTATATATCAATAGAAGCATAAAGATAAATTAACCTTTTGGCAGTTTATTCCAGAAAACCAACTTATGTCTGTTCATGTATGATGTTCTTGTATATAATAGAAAATAGTATTTTACTGGAATTAAGTATCCTGATGGTACACTATGCTGGTGTTTTGGTCATTTCCATTAGCTCTTCTAATCCTTAAGTGCTATTTATTGCTATATTCTCTTAAGAGTTCTGGTACAATGAGGATTTTTTTGGAAGTTACAGAGTGGAAAGTAGAGCTGGCGCTTCTCTTTGAGAGAGAACTATATGTGTAAAAATGTTTTTAAAATGTTTCTTTTTTGTGGTATAACAGTTGTTACACTGCTGAATTGCTTAACGTGTCAGTTTTATTTCTCCAAATGGCTGGTAGATTACTAAAAGTTATTTGAGGCTTTTACTTTTTTATGAATAAAGTAGAAGTAGCAAGCTACTTTTCATGCATGGACATGAAAGAAATGAACTAAGATGGTATTAAAACAGTGGTTTATCTTTTAACCTGCTGAAATTAACATAACTTTCCTCCCTTCCAACCTATAGGAGTCCTTTGAGACTGAAAATGCATTAAAACCATTTTGTTCTAATGCAGTTTCTGCAAATTTAGCCTGGTACATTTAGGGAATGAGTGTAAAAGCTATTGTTTTTGTGGTTAGCAATGTTGCTTGGATAGCAAGAGGCTTTCAAATGCCTTTTTAAAACTTGAGGTGCTATGGAGAACAGGCCAAAGAGAGTACTCTGAAATGTAATGGCTATGGATAAGACTGCAGTCATAAACCCTGAGAAAAATTTTGGGACTGACGCAGACTGTGTGCACACCTTTAGGGGTGACTTGGCCTCTGGGAAAGGATGCATGTGTGCTGTTATTTTTTGTATAGCATCTAATAGAAAGATGCAGAGTAGTGTTTCGAGGCCAGCCGTATTGTCTCCAAAGTATGAGTTGCAGCTATGATGACTTTTCTGTTTCTGATTAATCATCCTCCATCTTCACAAAAAGACCTACGTGAAAGTCAACATAGCTACCCTAAAATGTGAGCAACCTTGGATGAATTGTTGTGACAGATGGCTATATAGATTCAGTCTGGTGCCTAAAATCAGTATGGTAGGATCTGGCACTAAACACACTGCAAGTACATCTTTTTTTTGGAAACAACAAAATACAAACCTGCAGAGTAAGTTTGTTCATCAGTGGTTTTTGTGCTGCCTGCTAGTAGATGACCTTTTGCAGACTGGTAGACCTGTATCAAAGTTGTGTTGTCTTTTTCTTTTTTCTTTTCTTCTTTAAATATATGAAAATATGACAGTGGAAGAAAATTGAGAAGAAACCCTAATGAATTCCATTATGTAGATTAATATTTGATTGTAGCATGGAAGATTCTTGTGATTCTGTTTTGTGTTGTGTTGCAGCAAATAAAGATTTTTTTTTTTTAGGATGTTTGAGCCTTATATTGGAACAAATGGCTGCCTCCAGTTTTATGTAAATATACATAATAAAATTGACTATTTAAACTACTGAGTTCTGCTGTGTGTGGGTGTGCCTTCTGCCTGACCTCAGACGGACACGGCTAACTACCTGTCTGTTTTGTGATAATAAATTAAGCCATTACATTTTCTGGCCCTGACGATACAAGAAGATGTAATGAGGAAAGGTTTAATGTCAGGTTTGCTAGCTGATAAATGTTAGTGTTGCAAACATATAGGATTGGGAACAAGATTGCTGCTATTACTTCTGCCTCCACTTATTTAAAGTAATTCATAAAGTTCACGATCATTCAAAATATCAATTACATTCCAATAACTAGAAAGTATTATGTTAGACATAGCTTTGCAGTACTTGAATTTTTTTGCTGACACAGTCTATTGTAGTGTTTCTTATATTGAAGACTATTAATAAAGTCTTTGAAATCTGACTTGAAGTTTAACAAAAAAAGATGTGGTGGATTGCCAGATATTCGAGTTCAGTGTGCACTAGTAGTAGTACACTACTATGGCTTATCTTTACCGTCCTTGCATCTTTCTTTTGGTAGACACCACTGAATCATCTAATCGATTATATTTGTGATTTTTCTCAACTTGGTTATGTGCTAATTAAAGACAGACATTTGTGAAAATAATAGTGTTTTCCCCAAGACTTAGCAGGAGTGATTAGATACATCAGCCTTCCAAAATTAATTTGGCAGAGGTGCATACACTTTCTGAAATGGACGAGAAATGCCATCCAACTTTTGAGAATTAGAGCTTATATTCTACCAAAGAGTCTCGGGTATAAACAGGGTGACCAGTAGTAACCAATTTCTGAACTGTTGGGTCTCTTTCTTCTCAGTATTTTATCCTGGTATATACAAAAATACAGACAACAGAAGTAATAAGACTTTTTTTCCCCATTTGTTTAGCTTTTTTTAAATGTTTATCCCCACCATGCGGGCTAGAAATTTCCCTTACAAGGGCTTTTTCTTGAGACTCTTATGTAGTTGTTGATTCCAGGGTATTTAAGGGAAACAACATATACTGCACAACATATAGTAGAAATGAAAAATTGAGCAACAATGTGACTCTTTCTTCATTGGGCCCTGGAACCAACAGAGCACCAAATGCAGTAGTCTTTCTCTGGCACCCCCACTTCAAGGGCAATGAAGGTATCTAGACTAGTTATCTCCTGAGGTAAGTTGGCTTCTGCTTTGCCTGTTCAAAGCATGATGACCAGGGTTGGATGATAACTTTCAAACCATACTATTTTTTGTTGGAAATCTGGCTTTCCAGTGAGCATATTCAGGGGTGGGAATCATTTTTACAGACACCTTTTTTCGTTTGAAAACAAATGTTTGTAAATGTCAGCATTCTTCAAAATGGAAATACTGCTTACAAAATGGCTTTTGGGAATTGTAGCTGGGTTTTTCCTGTCCCCTTTCTCCTCCTGGTTTTGGCTGGCAGGGTTCCCCAGTGGGTTACAATTCCCTCAATACCCCTCATCCCTAGTGAGATCACCTTACAACTGCAGTGGCCATCTCATTCTCTCACTCTGCAATCAGTTCTCCAGTCTTCCCCAAATCAAGAGTCTTTGTCTCTCCTGTAAAACTGAGGAAATACCATATTTTCTCACATACTTGAACTGCAGAATAAAGGAAAAAACAGTTTTTTGTTTTTTTGGGTTTTTTTTGTAGCAAATAAATGAGAAATGGCAGGGAGGTTACTGAGCCTGCTCGTTGTTCTGCTTGCTCTGGATCATTGCAGATTCTAGTTTCATATTTGTCCAGAAAGTGGCAGAACCTGCTCTTAAATATTTCTTGCATATAATACCTATTCCAATTTCGAACCACTGTCTTTTGGAGAAAAGGTGGGTGTTGTATTTGAGGAGAATGTGGTATAGTCTCTGGTTTGCAGAGAATGGGAGTGTTTAAAGCACCAGAACTTGCAAATCAACAGTTGAAAAGTCATATCTGTTTTCAACCAAGTAGTTGATTTCTCTGTA